AATGAATCAATTAAATTTATCTGTGAAATGCCTTCTTTATTCCTAATTGTTTTTTTTTTGTTTTTATTTTTGAAAAATTTGGGAGGGCATTTAAATTTCGGCTTGTAAAGTTAGCTTCCGTTCCCGTTTACTTTATTTGGTTTGTTTTTCACCAACATCTAGGTCAACTGCAATTGAACCCGTCACATGGGAAAGAGCCTAGAAAGCTTGTCTCCGCTAAAAGGGGAATTATCTTTTAACTGACAGTTTTATAATACCAAGGTCCCAACTAATTTGCATTTTTACATTGCCGATATCAAGGGGCTATCACTCAGTTAACTGAACAAACAGTTTTGCATAATTAGACAATGAAAAGCGTGATCGAAAACACCTCATGCAATTTACCGGTAATTTTCCTACCTTACAATGACCTTATTGACACCAAAATCAAATAATCAAAATCAGCAGAATATATTGTATACCTGGCCGCAATAAATTGCAGATGTCAGCAAACTGATTCGTGTGCTTGAAAATAAAAGAACAAGAAGCCAGGTAACAAAGTGAAAAGTTTGCACAATTAGCTGCAGTTGCAAATGTGATTTTGTTTCAAATCGAAGATACTTTTCTGCTTAGTACTTAACATTTTGAATTCAAATTTACTTCATCAGATAGCATGACAAAACGTAAAACATCTCATAAGGAAATTTGTTTAATTTATTTAAAGACTTCAAGCACTTAAACTCGATAATAATACAAAGCGAAATTGGGATGGCCTTTCAGATAGTTTTTCGAATTTAGTTTATATTGTCATTAAGTTTTTATTATATTTTGATGGCAGCATTTGGCCCCCGCAAATCAATCTTTTGGCTCAAGTGGCAGAGCCAACTCACTCCCAATTCAAGTCGAAAAGGCATTGCCAGATCCACTCAACAGATACCACGCACTCGTAATAGATCCAGCAATAGCCACAATTTGGAGAGCCAGCTTTCTCAGTTACCAAAAAGTCAGACGTCGTAGTCGAAGATCGCTGGCCACTCAAAGCTCTCTCAGAGTTTTGTCGTGATTTTATTTTTGCCTGGCCTGGCTGCTGAGTTTGCGGGTTTTGTTTCTCGGGCTGGCTCTTGATTATTTTCTGTTCCGATTTTCATTACGTGCCCCGCAGTCTTCGCGAGCTGAACTCGGAAACTAAGACTCTGAAACCTAGAGACTCAAAAAGCCAGACAGTCAGAAACAGGCGAGTGAGTGCTTTTCAGCATTAGCTGCGATCGCACTACTTCCACAGCCCGCAATCAGTCTTCAGTGAGCGTGCGTCGGCATCGGCAGCAAGTTGGCTAAAAGCGGATCCTCCTCAGTGACCACCACCCCCGATCTCTCTTGGCCCCCGACATTTTTGGTTAGTTTGCACTTCGCCTTAACATCTGCCGCCAGTCGTGCCCCGCAACTATATATTTAATCAAGTGCAATGTGAAACGCCCAGCGGGGTGGTGAATGAATAATAATAATAATCGCGGTAATTGCAAATCAATTGCCAAACAATCCAAGCGGAAGTGATGAAAGAATTCTGATTTGTTAGAAAAGTGCAATACTAAAATGAGATTACCTTTGTTTTTTTTTCGATTGCTTTGCGGAAAAACCATAGGAAAAGCAGTTGACTTAGCTCTTTGATTTTCACTTAAATGTTTGTTTTCATAGCTTTTCCAGTTTTCCTCGCTCTCAGCCGCTCTCTTTGCGTGAGTTCGTGTGTGTGTGTTTTTGAGTTGGATTAGTTTTCCGCGACACCGATTGAGTAAGTTTTTCCATGCGGTTTTTCCAGCGAATGCTGGAAAATTCATGGGCAGCAAAACAAACAACAAACGTTGTTATGACTTAACATTCAAGAATTGTGTGTTATGTTGAAAGATCTTATTAATATTTAATTTTATAGTCCTTGGGTTGACTCGTGGCTAATTTCTGTCGACACTTTTTCATTATTTATTATGTTTTCTTTATTTTGCCATCGCATCTATGCCGCAAACCGGTTTGCCAAAAATCTGGATATACAAATAAATTAAACAATTGTTGTGTAGAATTTCTAAATGGGCATAACCATTTAAACGACAAAAATTTCAATTGTCCAAAATTGAAGGCAAAGTAACAAGCCGAAATAAAGTTATCAAGCCAAGTTCGTTTCTTGAGTCTTTTGAATGAAGCTCTCCTGCCAAGTTCGTTTCTTGAATCTTTGGATTGCCATTCAACGGAATTTCAATTATTAAAAATAATCCACAGAAAAAAGGTTCATTCAGCTTGCTTTGTTTCTATTTATTTTGTGGGACTTTCAATGTTAAGGTCTACACAGCCATTTAATGCTAATGCCCAGCACAAGTGCGATTTGTTCGTCGTTTTTTTCTCTCTGATTTTATGGCACATTGAATCGGATTCGCCTCCACTTCTCTGTCGCTCGAAATGTTCATGCCTAGCATAAACAAAATAGAATTATTGTTACACATTTGGTTGCCAAGGCGGAAATAAATAAAGCAAAAAGACTGTCAAACCAAATGGAATCGATTTGAATGGGATAAAATCATAACAGCACATGAAGAGAAATCAATGGCGCGAACCGAGATGAGAGAGATCTGTCCGTCGTAAAATAGAAAGTGACCAAAATGGATCTTTAGTCATAAACAAAACCAAAAAATTCGTCACAGTTAGAGGATACCCTCACTCGCAAGCAGAGTTGTTCAGCTAACTTGGTTTTTTTTTATAATTTTCTCATTAGGGCTCTTTTTTTTGGCCTAGGGCTCCGACTACGATATTTGCCATTTTGAAGCTGCAAAAGAAATTTCCAAATATTTAATATGCAGAAAAGTTTGTAAATACTCCGACGCACACAGATACTCACTCATACGGGGAACTTAAGACCCAGCTGGGTTTCAGTCATTTGTCTAAGCAAAAATTACGAACAAAGCAAAACGCAGACGTAGCTAAATTATGCAAATCTTAGGGCATATTCAGCCACAGCTACATCTGTAAAAATCTTTATGTATTGTTTATTTATATATAGAATAGTCCATGTGCTTCTCCAGTAGAAAAAGCTAAATAGCAGGTGAGCAATAGCCACAACACCTTAACAACAGAGAATCGTTTTAGGCGCTTCATTGAATTCTTCTTTGCAAATATATTCAAATGCGTTAACTGAAAAAATAAAAATGCTTCTGCAATAAGTTATAAAAAAGCTGCAACCAACGTCATTTCTCAGTTTATTTTAGAAATATATTAATTATATTCTTTTAGAAGAATTTCCAGCCAGTTTTAAACAACCAAATGACCAATTCAGCCTAAAACAAACATTGAAAACTATTCTGTGGTGTCACAAAACTAAATGTTGTTCAATCGCTAAGAAACTATGATAAAGCAAAGGGTGTAAAGCAACAAATGAAATAGATTTAAAGCCAAACAAGGTCTTTGCCTTAATTTATATAACGCAACAGAAATGTCAAGTTCAACGATCTTTTAGCCCTCCCAAAAACCATCAATAACTCATGCTGTCAATCCCAAGTCCCCGAAGTTAAAACCTGTTGCCTCAATCTAGCGAAGAACTTTACAAAGCCAAACAGTGGTATTACACATGCGAGATGAAAATATGACAAAAATGTTGCTGGGTGAGGGCAAAATGGCGATGAATCTCCAAAACTCGGAGTTCGAGGAAACAAATGCAAATCATTTGGATGAGGGCCAGGCCAAGACCAAGCGAAACCAGTTAACTGCGATCAAGTCAATGTTGATCAAACTGGCGGCACTCTGTCTCAGATCCGGAGAACACAATTTGCATAATTCTGGATTCCGCATCAGGCCAAATTGCGGAGTTATTTCGAAAGCGAAATTCCAGTGAGCTGGGAAAAGTCTGCGAAGGCCTTTGGGGTTGTCCGATCTGTCGGTTGGTCAATTACAAGCGATTCAATTAGCGCCTGGGTGTTAGCCCCCGAAAAACACGGCAATCGCTCAGCTATAACAACTGTTGGGGCAGAGAAATTTGTTGAATTCATCTGCATACGAAGACAACGCAGCACGACGATCTCTAGAGATCAACCGCGATCTGACCGTGACCGTGCATTTCGATTGAGCTGAGTTTTTGTTTGGCCGGCCAAACTCCAAATATATATGGTATTGGTGGGCCTACAGATCCGACGACTCCTCCTCCTCCTCCTCCAAACATACCACTCCACTCGAGATCTCCGGCTGGGCGGCCTTGACACAAATTTGGAATCACACGAAAATGTTCGAAATTAATCTCTCCTCCAACAAATTGTTACGCATTTCGTTAATTATGTTTTCCACCTGTACACAGAGCTTGGGCAACGTGGCGTATGCTTAATGCCGTATACCGCATGCCGTGTGCCGTGTGAGATCTAACTACATCGGTTATACCTTGGTTTGATTTCTTTTTTCGAGGCTTTCGGTTTCCTTTTTTTCGGATATACGCGTCATTTGCCATTAATTAGTCGAGCTATTGATGGTTTTCGGATGGAGCGAACAAAAGGCGGCTTTGTGAATGGTTTTGCAGTTGGCCGGGAAAGTACAGTTAACAGTGTTGGGCAACGGCCATGAGTTTGATTGTGAAGTGTGGCAAGTCGAAAGTTTTGGGGGTATTAATTAACGCGAGCTTAGCCACTCTAATTCGCTTGGTGATTTAAGTTAACGCTTGATTAGGCTTTAGTGTGGGAAAGTAAAAATTTAACCCCGAATTCTTAAGTTGGCTTAGATTGCAGTGCTAACTTTTGTTATTATTGCAATTTTAATTGTTCCAGAAGCACATTTCATTTACTCGCTTCTAATTTGCCATTACTTTCCAGAAATAGTTGTTTACTTATGTACTTATCGTACATTAATTGGTTGCGAGGCGTAATTCATGGAAATATTTGCTGGGTATGCCTTTCAGAATGGAATATTGAAATTTTCCCCCCTTTGTTAATGGAAACCCCAGGCTAAATGCAATCAGTTTGTCTACAACATTAGTTTTCCAACGTCAATAATATTAAAGTAACTATAATATCCCAGAACCCCGAGAGGAGCTCAGCCAAATGTATTCAATATTTAAAAATTAAAATGTAATTCAAGAGGTTTCCCTTCCGAATGGGCCTCTATCTGGCGCTTCCGCTGGAGACGGACCTGCGAAGGTCCCCCATGTAAGCACTGGGTCCGGCGATGAAGGGCGGGATGTCCAGCTGTACGGAGTAGTTGCAGACGGGCGTGGAGGGACGGGGCACTGGGGTTCGGGTCTTGACCACCATCCGGAATCGCGGAGGCTCCACGGACCGACGCTCCTCCCTGCGCTTGGGCTTCTTCTTGTCCTGCTTCTGGGGCACCACATGGGGCTTCTGCGGCTCGGGCAGGTGCTGATCCCAGGGAGTGGCCTGTTTGAGGGCGAACTTGTGGAACTGCTTATCGATGCCAGAGGGCCGTCGCTTGTGCAGCAGCACCGCGGTCTTGGCCTTCAGCCGGTAGACCGGGGGCACTATCTGGTGGTAGCCGCGGCGCTGGCCATCGCGGGGATAGGCGGGCGGGTGGGCCACCACCTTCTTGCGGCGCAGATGGTGCTTCACCTCCTCCGTGGTCTCCGCGTCCCGGGAACTGGGGCAGGTGTGCCAGGAGTGCCAGTATGCCGCCTCGTCCTCCGACTCGCGCTTCTTCAGCCACTCGGCAGTGGGACGGTTAGGATCGTAGACCACCGTCTGGCCATCTTCCTCGAGGTGGCGTTTCTCCGCTTCCCGCTGCAGTTTCTCCTCGAAGTACTTTTCCCTCCTCAGCTCCGGGCGGTAGGTGATCCCCGAGGTGTTCGTTTCCCTCCTCGACTCCGGCCGGCTCTGCCACCGGCGACGATTCTGCTCGATGATCTGCTCCTGCCGCCGCTGGTGATCGGCGGGGTCCTGCGTGATGGAGCGGCGGCGCATCTTGTCCGGCTCCTCGGTGTTGCCCGCAAAGTGGCTCTGGATCCTCTTCTGGGCCTCCGTGCGCCGCTCCTCCCGCTCCATCCTGTACTTGTCCTGGGCATCACGGAACTTGTTCTTGGCCATGTACACGCGGTCGTTGCAGTGCGACTCGTAGCCCAGCTCGTCCAGGCGCTTGGGGAAGTCGGCGGAGGCCTCCTCGGACCAAGGAGACTCCCGGGGAGCCTCGGCCATGCTCATGTCGCTGTTTAGGGCCTCGATTTGGGCCTGGGTCTTGTCGTCAAAGGTGTATCGGTCGGCATATCGGCGCCTTTGGCCGGAAGCTGCCGGCAGTCGCCGCAAACCGGAAACATCACTCCGCGCCTTGTGGCTAACGAACCGGAAACAGCGGTTCAGGCTCAATCGAGCCACTTTTAATGAGGCATTCATCTTTCGAGGATTTTACTTGAATTAAAATGTCCTTTTAAAACTAATAATTTTGGTGCGTGTGCTGCGGTGTCTGATAGGAAACTCCGGACTAAATTTTGAAACTTTCAATTTTGAAGGCTTACAATTTTCAACTCCTAAAAATGAATAACCGAAATTTTGTGAACTGAATGCTTCGCAAACTGGGAATATTATGAGAGCGGTAATGACTTCTTCCCACGAAGTAAAAGGCAATGCTACCCCAGTTGAACATACGAATCGAGGAGGTGAACAAGACCTACTGGGTGCCCAGCGGTTTATCATGGGAGGTAGAAATGATACTAGCTTTTCTTTACTGCAAGTCGGAAGGTTAACAAAACTGTTACCAAGCTTTACTAAATGGAAAATTCTAAGAAATTCAATTACTTATATTATATATTACATTTTTGTGATACAATTTAGAAATTGTACAATCTCACTGTCAGTCTTCATTGGTTTTTAGGTTTTATCTAATCACAAAAGCGGCCAACCTTTGAAGACATGTTTTCATTAGGTTTAACACCCAAAGCGGGAAAGTGTGGAAAGTTTAAATATTCAGCTCTAAACTTCGTTGGACATTCAGCATATTGAGGCTGTTCGTTTTCCGCATCGTGCACTCCACTTCCATCTAATTTGATAACAAATTTATGATGCACTTCCGCCGCAAGCTCAACTTGACACACTGAGGAGTGTATCTGGTTTTTCGGCACTGCCCTCGATCGCCGGCTTTACTGTCGCGCCAATCCAATTGGACTAATGAACTTGAACCAACCGATGTCACGGCGCGTTTCTTATTCACTTATTTACTTATTTTCTCTCTCTTTTTTCAGCTTGCCCAACCGATTCTAACGCTCAGCAGCAAATTGGCGCCGCCGACGAATCTCGAGCCCTACACCATGGCTGTCATCACGGAACATGGCGGCACCACCTCCCCCCCGGAAAACAACAACAGCCTCGTGGGCAACGGAAAGCTGCGGGTCGGCGGTAACCAGCTGACCATCCCGGAGTTCTTTGCCCACAAGAACATCTTCGTCACCGGCGGCACAGGCTTCCTGGGCACAGTGCTCATCGAGGCCCTCCTGGACACACATCCCGACATCGGCACCATCTACGTTTTGGTGCGGGGCAAGCGCAAGTTCGATCCGAATGAGCGGATCCGTCGACTGCTCCAGAAGCCGGTAAGTGTGGTGGCGTTTTTCACAGGTTTTCTTTTCGTTTTTGTTTTTGGCCAGCTGAAAAGGGGCAGCACCCGGCCACGCCCCCTGACACGAAGCTGCCCCCGACGCGCCGTCCACATGGTGTGTCATTAAGGCCAATTACGAGCCTCTTTATGGAGCGTTAATTGGTCAAAGTCGTAACCTCGACGACCTCTTCCGCTGCTTTTATGTTCCCTCCTTTCTTCTTAAGTTACAAGAAACTTGAGATACTCTTTTGTTAAAATTGTTAAGTGTTTTGAAGTCTGGGATTGTTAACCAAATAAGCCAAATAAATTAAAATTTTAGGAAGCCTTTTTAATACTTTTTAAGAATACTTTAGAATCTTTATAAATAATAAAGCTCCGCAACTTTGAAATCGATTAAATGTGGAACAGCAACCACTTTTTTAAACATTGCCTTGATACTTAGTTAAAACATTTTGCATAATCATTAAAAGCGTATTAAAATCTTCGTCTCAACAAAGTCAGTCTTTCCATTATGTTGGCTCTTTCCCTTTATTTTCATACGAGACTCTTCACATATTGTTAATTATATTTTTAAGCGCATTTTTAATGGCGTAACAAAAAGCAGCTAACAGCAAATGTTGTTTGCTTTAGAAATTGCTTACTTACGAGTACGCGTATTTCCCAAAAGCTAAAAATACCGAAGAAAACACTCAGCGCTAACAATCATAATTTGTGGGGCATAATGTGGGCGTGGCCAGTTACCAACCCGACCTCCAGACAGCAGTGAAAATAATTGGCAACATCCGTGTCTACAGGGAGAGAAAAACACGAGCTTAAGCCCGATCTTAATAGATTTAAAACCGTACAAAATTTTTAATGTCTGTAATTGAGAGTCATAAAATCAATTAATACCTGTTGGTAGCTAATAACGGCACAGTTACTATATAATTTTAATTGTAGTATTATATTTTTTACGGGGCATGCTAGATTTTCGAGAAGTACTCGGAGAAGACGCTGGCCAAAGTGGTGCCCGTGGTGGGGGAGCTGAGCGAGCCGAACTTCGGCTTCGGGCCCGAGCTCCTGCAGGAGCTCATCGACCAGGTCAACGTGATCTACCACAGCGCCGCCACCATCAAGTTCAGCTCCCCGCTGCGCACCGCCATCCGCACCAACCTCACCGGAACGATGCGCACCATCGAGCTGGCCAAGCAGCTGAAGCACCTGGCCGCCTACATCTACTGCTCCACGGCCTTCTGCAACAGCAACAACCGCGGCCTGATCGCCGAGGAGGTCTACAAGTCGCAGTTCGACCCCTACGAGATGATGCAGATGGCCGAGGACGACGCCGCCTGGGAGGACTTCACCGACCAGAAGTGCAAGGGCTACATCCGGGACCACCCCAACACGTACACGTTCACGAAGAACCTTTCCGAGAATCTGCTGATGGCCGAGATGTCGGGACTGCCGGCGGCCATAGTCCGTCCATCGATTGGTGAGTTTCCCTTCTGCTGCACAATGCTGGCAAAGCCGTAATCTGTAAGAGACGACCTAATCTAACCCCCAGTGTATGGCACCCTGGAGCACCCGATGAAGGGCTGGGTGGGCAACGCCAACTCCGGCCACCTGGGCTTCTTGGCCGGCTTCGTGAAGGGAATCTTTCGGACAATGTGCGGGAACGCTAATGCTGTGATCGACATCATTCCATGCGACTACGTGATCAACTCGTCGCTGGTCATGGGCTGGTACGTGGGCACCCGGAAACTGGAGCAGCCGGAGATCATACACTGCACCTCGGGGGAGGTGAATCCGCTGAACCTGGCCGAGTTCTGCACGATCATCAACGACAGCGTGGAGCGGCATCCGCCCAACAGCTTCGTCTGGAAGCCGGCGACGAAGTTGCGCAATGGCTGGCGCTACAATCTGTTCTTCTATCTGTTCCATCTGCTGCCAGCGATGGTCTTCATCATCCCAGAGAAGCTATTCGGCATCGGGATGCCGCAGCACACGTAAGTGTTTGTCTTGGAAATATACTTACAAGATTAATCTATGGTTAGCACCAGAAGTTTAGTATTTAGATGTCATAAAGAGTCTAGGAGTGAATACATAAATAGACTAGGAAACTATAATGGCTCTCAAACCATAAGATTACCCAAGATTATTCCAACTTCATTTTCTTATGTCCCTTTCATGTAGAGCCTACGAGTACATGCGCGTTTTCCAAAAGGGAACCAAGGCCTTCGACTACTTCCTGGACAAGGACTTCCGCTACTCCCTGAAGAATGCCCTGCGTATCTCGGCCTTGATTCCCGAGAGCGATCGAAGGCGCTACAACTTCGATGCCAGCCAGTGCGACTGGTCGGAGTTCATCGATCGCTGTCTGATCGGCATCCGCCGTTTTTACTTCAAGGAGTCGGCAGTGACCACGGAGTGGCATCGCAACTACTGGAAGGTGTACGTATAGCAGACATGATGTATGCAAACCTATTCTTAACCGCTTTCTCTCCTCTCCATCAGTTTCAATTTCCTGTACTATGCGGGCTACGTGGTCATCTTCGCCGTCCTGTACTTCGCCCTCACCCTCACTTTGGGCCTGCAGATCGGCCTCACGCTGGCGGTCCTGATCTGGGGATTCCTCGTCTGGTTGTAGTCTAATTTCTGATTTCTGGATCGCCAACCGCTGGATTGTGCAATATTCCCGCTCCGATTCCGATCCTCCCCCACATGGTTGTTCGTTTCCATCCGTAGTTTGTTCTTAGTAGGGTATCATGTATTTTACTTTTAAGTCCTGTCACACAAGCCAAGTACAAGTCAGAATTGTGTACCATAATACTTAACTATCAAAGCAACACTAGACACGAATCTATTCACACAGCAATGCAAAAGTAGCCCAAAACTTAGTCACATTAACTAAACGCTAAATGTAAAACTAATGAACAATCGTAGATTGTTGTAATAATCAACCGGTTTATAGTCAAATAGTCGAAGAATGCAAGAACTAAACTTTAAATGTTAAATATGTAACTATTATTCAAATAAATATGATTTTAATATTAAGAAAAAATTGAGGAGTTTTCTTTGGTTTTCATTTAGGTTGGTTGACAAACAGAACTATACTATATAAAAAACATGGAGCTATATGACAAATAAGTATATGTTTTATCACCTAATTGATCTTATTGAATCTCTTCAACTTTTAATTTTATAAAAGACCAACTATTTCATCCAAAATGTAAAAATAAGGGATTTCTTCGTTCATTATGAATTGCAGCCATTTAACAGTCGATTAACGGTTGTCTTAACGAAATATGTAACTTAATGCACAACGTCAGGGATGGTCGGAAGAAAAAATCGTAAGACAACGTAATGGTATTGATTTTTTCCAGTTACAGACTTATCTATAGTTCTTACCTATGTTGGTTTTTGTTTTTACCATTAAATTTGAATTCTCTTTGCCTTTTTAGGTTCTAAAAACGAAAAGACATTAAAAATTAAATAATGGGACCCCTTTTTTCAAGTCATCGAATAATTAGAAATAACTAACATGAAAATGGGTCAAAATTTTGATCAACGTTAAATTGAAAATTTTGAATGCAGATTTTTAGAGAATCGAATCACAAGTCTTTAGAGGTATGCCACTTTGGAATCGGATTAAATTTGGTAAAGTTATGGATACTAGAAGTCCAATTTTGGGTCACTGTATTACAAAACATCGGAAAATTAGAAATAACTAACATGAAAATGAGTCAAAATTTTGATCAACGTTAAATTGAAAATTTTGAATGCAGATTTTTAGAGAATCGAATCACAAGTCTTTAGAGGTATGCCACTTTGGAATCGGATTAAATTTGGTAAAGTTATGGATACTAGAAGTCCAATTTTGGGTCACTGTATACAAAACATCGGAAAATTAGAAATAACTAACATGAAAATGGGTCAAAATTTTGATCAACGTTAAATTGAAAATTTTGAATGCAGATTTTTAGAGAATCGAGCCACAAGAATCGGATTAAATTTGATAAAGTTATGGTACTATAAGTCCAATTTTGGGTCACTGTATTACAAAAAACCGGAAAATTAGAAATAACTAACATAAGAATGGGTCAAAATTTTAATCAACGTTAAATTGAAAATGTTGAATGCAGATTTTTAGAGAATCGAATCACAAGTCTTTAGAGGTATGCCACTTTAAAATCGGATTACATTTGATAAAGTTATGGATACTAGAAGTCCAATTTTGGGTCACTGTATTACAAAACATCGGAAAATTAGAAATAACTAACATGAAAATGGGTCAAAATTTTGATCAACGTTAAATTGAAAATTTTGAATGCAGATTTTTAGAGAATCGAATCAGAAGTCTTTAGAGGTATGCCACTTTAAAATCGGATTACATTTGGTAAAGTTATTGATACTAGAAGTCCAATTTTGGGTCACTGTATACAAAACATCGGAAAATTAGAAATAACTAACATGAAAATGGGTCAAAATTTTGATCAACGTTAAATTGAAAATTTTGAATGCAGATTTTTAGAGAATCGAATCACAAGTCTTTAGAGGTATGCCACTTTAAAATCGGATTACATTTGGTAAAGTTATTGATACTAGAAGTCCAATTTTGGGTCACTGTATTACAAAACATCGGAAAATTAGAAATAACTAACATGAAAATGGGTCAAAATTTTGATCAACGTTAAATTGAAAATTTTGAATGCAGATTTTTAGAGAATCGAATCACAAGTCTTTAGAGGTATGCCACTTTGGAATCGGATTAAATTTGATAAAGTTATGGATACTAGAAGTCCAATTTTGGGTCACTGTATTACAAAACATCGGAAAATTAGAAATAACTAACATGAAAATGAGTCAAAATTATGATCAACGTTAAATTGAAAATTTTTAATGCAGATTTTTAGAGAATCGAGCCACAAGTCTTTAGAGGTATGCCACTTTGGAATCGGATTAAATTTGATAAAGTTATGGATACTAGAAGTCCAGTTTTGAGTCACTGTATTACAAAACATCGGAAAATTAGAAATAACTAACATAAGAATGGGTCAAAATTTTGATCAACCTTAAATTGAAAATGTTGAATGCAGATTTTTAGAGAATCGAATCACAAGTCTTTAGAGGTATGCCACTTTAAAATCGGATTACATTTGGTAAAGTTATTGATACTAGAAGTCCAATTTTGGGTCACTGTATACAAAACATCGGAAAATTAGAAATAACTAACATGAAAATGGGTCAAAATTTTGATCAACGTTAAATTGAAAATTTTGAATGCAGATTTTTAGAGAATCGAATCACAAGTCTTTAGAGGTATGCCACTTTAAAATCGGATTACATTTGGTAAAGTTATTGATACTAGAAGTCCAATTTTGGGTCACTGTATTACAAAACATCGGAAAATTAGAAATAACTAACATGAAAATGAGTCAAAATTTTGATCAACGTTAAATTGAAAATTTTGAATGCAGATTTTTAGAGAATCGAATCACAAGTCTTTAGAGGTATGCCACTTTGGAATCGGATTAAATTTGATAAAGTTATGGATACTAGAAGTCCAGTTTTGAGTCACTGTATTACAAAACATCGGAAAATTAGAAATAACTAACATAAGAATGGGTCAAAATTTTAATCAACGTTAAATTGAAAATGTTGAATGCAGATTTTTAGAGAATCGAGCCACAAGTCTTTAGAGGTATGCCACTTTGGAATCGGATTAAATTTGATAAAGTTATGGATACTAGAAGTCCAGTTTTGAGTCACTGTATTACAAAACATCGGAAAATTAGAAATAACTAACATAAGAATGGGTCAAAATTTTAATCAACGTTAAATTGAAAATGTTGAATGCAGATTTTTAGAGAATCGAATCACAAGTCTTTAGAGGTATGCCACTTTGGAATCGGATTAAATTTGGTAAAGTTATGGATACTAGAAGTCCAATTTTGGGTCACTGTATACAAAACATCGGAAAATTAGAAATAACTAACATAAGAATGGGTCAAAATTTTAATCAACGTTAAATTGAAAATGTTGAATGCAGATTTTTAGAGAATCGAATCACAAGACCATAGGACCATAGGAGTGCAATTGTTTGGTTAGTCCAAAGATTTTTAAATTTAAATTAATTTTAAATTAAAATGTTTTTTAGTGTTTTCGTAAAAACAATTATGTGTGTAATATTCTACATGCAATGTAGAAATGTTGCATGTCACTGCCATTTTTTTAGTAGATCATCCACCTGTGGGAGGTGCTTGTCCACCTGGTCGCGCAGGTGCGGCATGGCAAAGAATTTAAGCCTCAAAAGGGGCATGGTAACTTAAGAACTTTGAACGACGGCGCCAAACCTTGGACAAAACGCAGAAAGTCCCGTAACGCCTTGCGAAAGTGGCCAGAAAGCGCCTATATTTGCGTTAAACCCAAAGGTGGTCACACTGCCTGGACCTAAAATCTGTGTGTCGCGAAATTCTCCGTTCCGCCGCATTTTCCGCGAGAAAAAAGTGCTGTCGACGGGAGCCGGCGGCGGGGGCAGGTCCCCGCGATCAGTTTTCCGTGAAAAGTGATCGAATACACCAGTTTTCCCATCGCGTGTGTTACCCATGTGCAAAATACAGTGCTGCCAGACCGTCAAACTGAACTTTACCGGTTTTTTTCCCCAATTTCGCCCCGCTCCCCCACATCCGCTACGACCCTGGGACCCCCTCAGAAAATCGTAGGAAACGCTCCCAAGCCTCCCGACCGAAATCATACCCTCAAGACCGCCAGCGTTGCCCCCCTCAAGACCCTCCCCATCCCGGCGTTGCCAGAAGCATAATTCGTATTTACATCTGCAATACCTTTCTACATGGTGTATTTTACTTTTAAGCAGAAAGTACCCAAAACTTCCGCCAGGTGCGCTAGCAACGAGAAAGAAAGTCCCCCACTCTGCGAATAAATAAAAAGTATCTATGCATCACGGAAAATAAATGTATCTATAGAGAGGGAGTTGCTCTCCGTACTCTTCGAGCTCGAGAGAATTCAGTGAGTACAACGTTTGCAGCAATATCGTAGCTGCCGAGTTGGGTTGGTTATCAGGCAATAAATTATGTGAGACTAGCCCCCTTTTTGGACGTCTCTGGATAACTGGTTTACCCGACGATCGTTGTCGTAATAACGACGATCCGTGGAGCGTAGGTAATGATCATCTGCGATCGTTCGGCTTGCGAACGAGCACATTTCAGTGGCCATTGACGGTATAAAGATTCAGTTGAAGTTTTACTGTTGCCGGCTAACGTTCGAAAATCGGAGGGTCGGAGATAAACTCTTTCCCATTCAGTTGCCCCACTCACACTCACACCGCAGTACACACACGTGTACGGACAGTTGCACTGGTGTTGGTACTTTGTTTACAGTCGCATCGCAGCAACAACACAAACAGTGGAGTAAAAGATAGAAAGACGGAATAAAAAGAAGAGGAGGCCGATAGCAAAGAGAAATACGTGGAAAAGAGAAATTTCGACGTTCTAAGCCGAGTTTTAGTCTTAAATAAATAATCGGAACGAGCGGATAGACACAGACTGCAACTAACATTAATATTGGCAATTACCACACCTGCTGAGAAACCATGTCCAGGTAAGTCTTACTCAATTTGGCTGAAAACAACAGTTTCTGTTGGCTCTTATTGTATTTAATTTTGGTAGCAGTTTGACAACTTTCGGCCTGCTTTTTCTCTTTTCTCCGCTTTCAAGCGATTTTTGTTAGGTAATAAAGGCAGTGCAAAGTTCAAATTGCCACAAATATCTAGGAAGAAGATACTTCATTCATGCACGTTAAATTTATATACTCCCAAACTGCACCTAACAAAATCAATTTGAACTTTGCTTTTAACCGCGTTTTTTCCTCTTAATTGTTGTACATACAATAAAATGAGTACTTCGTTGGAAAAAAATAAAGTATTTATATTCCATCACTTAAAGTTATTTTCAAAAAGGTCAAAGTATTTGATTTATAAACTGTGCTTGCTTATTGTTTTAAAAAATGTAAGCCAAAGCTGTTTTTAAACAATACATTTTTAGATAGTTCAAGTTAATGAGGCCATACTGTATTATAATTAACACTCGCGTTAGCGACTGCTTCTACTTCATTACGAACAGACAGTGGGTCATTAAGCCGGACACTTTCTTACCCCAATGAAATTCTATCACCTGAGAGTAAACTGCACTAGACAACAATGGAAAATTTCGTTAGCCTGCTGAATGCGTCTATTAATATATAGAGTGATGCAAATAGTCCAGTTTTCTCACTCAAAGTTTGACCTGTTCGGTGCCCCTCCTCTGAAGATCGTATGAAGCACCCTTACTGCAGTATGACGTCAATAATTCAGTGGCTGGCAAGCAGGAAACCGAGCGGAAAATTACAGGTTGCAGAGTCAAAGGAAACCGATGTGGAACAAGATCATTACATGCTATAGCCATCCCATCCTGACAGGTTGCTAAACATTTTCGGGACGAGTATTAATAATAATTTGCGCTGAGATTTATGGGCCGTCACAAGGTTGATTGCAGTTGGTAGGGTCAGTTACTCAAAGTCGAGTGGCTTAATTGTCGAGGTGGGCCAGCAGTTAAGTTTATGTGCAAGCTAATGGCATGGGAGTTCTTAACGCCAGTCGTAATGGAATGCGGTTAACTGTTGCAAATGATATTGAATTATGCAGGACTAAGCACTGTGTCATGACTTCATATTACTTTTTTAATTGTTTCCTCTTCTTTAGCTTAGATATTTACTTCCTATGAATATCAATACCCTTCGATTTTCATTCTAATACCAGTTCCAAGGCAAAGCAAAACCTAATTTAAAAGAAATTTCAAGTAGCACTGCCACCATAAATCGGCCCACTTAATTACCCTAGATAAGCCACATAGTGGCCAACAGAAACATCTAATCTCAGAAGTCGATTCAAAACTGATAAGAAAGTTAATTTTCAACAGCGAAAGCGAAGACTGAAGACTGAAGAAAGAGTAACACGGAAACCTGCAGTCAAAACTTAGAAAATCAGCTCGATGAATTATTAGCCATTTGTCTTGATTGGGTCACCTGTCCCTTCTGTTTCGCCTTTTCTCCCTCCGAATCTTCGGACCACAAAGTGAAAGCTCCATTTTGCTTACCAACAAGCTCTGCAGCTTGAACTGTGAGCCTGGCCAAAACGATGACTTGCCTGTTTGGGTGTGTAAATATGAGCACCTGCAAAGGCTTCAACTGCTATCTGATGTGTCTGTCATCTCGAGGGTTTCCTTTAATTGCTCAAAAGAAAATTTGCATTCATTTTTGCATTTTCGAATATAGGAAGTAATGCATTCACATTCGCTCCCCTCCAAATGTCATTTGTTACGCAGAAATTATATCACGCATCCGTAGAAGGGGCAAAAAACACAGAAATCATCTTCAATGATCGTCATTATAAAATCATTTGGCATAACAAAATGTGGAGACAGCGAACTGCGATGGAGGTCATTAAAAGAGAAATGCGCCAGTCTTGGCTAATTGAATGATCAAGTTGCGTGTTGAAGCCCCCATTTGTTTGGTAACTCGATTGAAACGGTTGGAATAATATTCGATGGTAAATTGAAAATGGGGTTTCCCGAACTCAAAGAGCTTAAATGAACTGAAATGATCTTAAAGCAACCAAAATGCAACAGAAAATTTATACAAATTTGTTTGAGATCGGTTGAAAGAGAATCACCCCGAATGGACGTATTCTAAGCCTAATGAAAAAATTAAAAAGTTTTGAAGTAAAAAGAACAAATAAATCATGGGTATATATAGATTAGGTTTACTCCATCAATTTTTAATACTCTTTTTTATGGCCCAAAGTCTTTTATTATATAAAGCATTTAGGTTACTATTAAAAAAGCTTAAAGAATTCACAGGTCCAATACATAAATAAAATATTTATGGCTCTAGCACACTGCAGGTATCTTGAAAAAGAATCTGAAAGTTCAAAGTGTTTAAAAAAACAATCTTCAAAGATCGAAAACCATAACAAACTATATAATTTGCCAGTTTGCCTCACCGCACGACGAGTTTCCAGTCGAGTGTTGAATCCAAAGTGCCATGAAACGAGAGACACCCACAAGATGGATCCGAGTTCCAGCATTGACCCGCCAGTCGACACCTGCTAACGAATCATTAGTTAGATAAATATTGGAGGATACACAATGGGCACTTAGAACTCGGAACTCACGGGGAAAACGGGTTTACGGATAGATCTCCGCCCTCGGAGTTTTCAATGGGTGAACGAGTGTCGTAAGCAACCCGCTTCATTGGGCCATTTGAATGGGCGATGAGAGAAAGTTGGGCTCATCTTTTATGACGCCTGTAAATATAGTCGAAGTAGTTATGCAAACACAATAGACCGCAGCGAACTGATTGGAAAACCTCTAACTTTTCAGCTCACCCATCACAGACTTCTACGCGGGTCGCAATGTGTTCATCACCGGAGCCACTGGCTTCGTGGGCGTCACGATTGTGGAGAAACTGCTGAGGGAGATCCCCAACGTGGGCACACTGTACCTGCTGATGCGGGCCAAGAAGGGCAAGAATGTCCAGGAGCGCCTCGGGGAGCTGAAGAAGAACTCCGTGTTCGACAAGTTCAAGGAGCTGCAGCTGGAGTCCCGCCTGGCCAAGATCGTTCCCGTCGAGGGCGACGTGGGCCTGGAGAATCTGGGCATCTCGCCCGAGGATCGCCAGACCCTGATCGACAACGTGAACGTGGTCTTCCACTCGGCAGCCACCTTGGACTTCTTCCAGTCCCTGAAGGAGACCACCAACATCAACTTGCGGGGCACAAGGCGCGTGGTGGAGCTGTGCCAGCAGCTGAAGCAACTGGACGCCCTGGTCCATGTGTCCAGCGCCTATGTGAATGCCTACCTGACGAAGGTCGAGGAGAAGCTGTATCCCTCGCCCGAGGATCCCGAGAAGATCATCCAGCTGTCGGAGACGCTCAACGACGAGGCTCTCAAGGAACTGGAACCAAAGTGGGTGGCTACACTAAATATTCCGAACTGTTCAGTAGTAATCAATCAATCTCTTGCAGACTCCTTAAGGATCACCCAAACACCTACACCTTCACGAAGCACCTGGCGGAGCACGAGGTGGCCAATGTGGCCGGTAAATTCCCCTGCGGCATTGTCCGTCCCAGCATGAGTGAGTAGCCTCTGGAGTTTCCACCTCCTCTATAAACTAAAACCAATTTGCATATCACTACAGTCACCGCCGCTTGGAAGGAGCCTCTTCCCGGGTGGACCATTTCGAAGAACGGCCCCCAGGGCTTCTTCATGGGCGCCTCCAAGGGCGTGCTGCGTCGCCTTCCCTTGGATCCCAACATCATCATGGACTACATACCCATCGATGTGGTGGTCAATGGGTAAGCCAGTGCATGCAACATTGTTTGAACCTAGATTTATGCCGTACTCCCAAAATCCAGTATCATCACCACCGGCTACTATGTGAACTCGCTGCAGGCGAAGAACGGAGGCCGTCCATCCGAGCTGCAGATCTTCCACCTGACCTCCAGCACATACAAGCCGTTCCGGTTCGAACTGATGGCGGACAAGATCAACGGCTACCTGCACGACTACCCGCTGAACAGTGCCGTGTGGTATCCCAACCTGCGTCTGGTCAAGAGCCTCTGGGTATTCCGGCTGAGCGCCATCCTCTTCCACTTCATTCCGGCCCTGTTCCTGGATCTGGTCACCAAGATTGGAGGCGGCAGGCCTATGTAAGTATGCTTTGGGACATTATTCCGTAACTGCTTATCCTAAAAAGTATTCAATTTGTAAATGTTAAACTTTATTAAATTTGATTAATATAATCAAATGTGTACAATTGGTACACAATATTTTTGATAAATGCTCTTATTCAATCAAATTGAATAGAGTTAACAAAGTCATTTTAAGTTACCAAATGAAAAAGAAAATATTTTATATACATTGTATTTAATCTCTATAGCACCCAAAAATAGCTCTTAAAAATTCAAAAAGCTTACTAAATTAATTTTATTAAATTTTTAGCTTGGTTCGACTGCACAAGAACGTATGGAACTCACTGAATACCCTGGAACGGTTCATCTTCACGGAGTGGCACTTCGACAGCAAAAAACTATTGGCGCTTTCGAAGACTTTGAATCCGGTGGACAAGAAGAAGTTCTTCATCGACATCGGGGAACTGTCCTGGGATGAGTACTTCGCCAACACGATTCTGGGAGTCCGCCAGTATCTCAGCAAGGAGCCGCCCAAGAACCTGGAAAAGGCCCGTCGCAAGGACAAAATGTAAGCCCCTGGGATACTAGCAGTTCGAGCACCTATTAACCTTTCTCCCCCTCAGTCTCCTGGGTCTCCACGTGGCCCTGCAGCTCCTCTTCTGGTATGGAGTCTTCAAGCTGATCGTTTGCTTCACCGGAATTTCTGGAGCTAAAGCGGCTCTGGTCCTGCCCGTGCTCTACTACCTGTTTGGACTCCTCTAAGAGGACGAGCATGTTCCCCCAGTAGTTCAGCATTTCTCAATGTTATTTATGCTAAATGCAATTTGTATGAGGTTTGGTTTTACAATATAAATACAAAAAAACAAACAGTGGCTATCTTATTTACTGATTTATTTTATCTTGTTCATATCAGTATTTAAACATATTTATGTCTGAAGAAATATGGGCTTGGGGAAGAACTGTTACGGATATAAACTTCATATACTCTTTTTAATACCTTACTGTTTTACAAAACTGTATCATCATATTTATGTTAAATATACATATATCCGTGTTGGAACAAGTAAAATTGTGTTATCCAATATGGGTGTTTACAAGAAACAAATCTAGAATACCTACTTTATTAATAAATTACTATTAGGAATTTTAAAAATAGTTAATAGTACATATTTTGATTGTTCTAGGTTCGAGCTATTATTTGAATTTGTTTATTTCTGCCCGCCAAATTGGGAACCTGGGCACACCCGTCGCAGTGTGACCGCACCCTGGGATGCCATAAGATCCCGAAGTGCATCTCAAACCCGAAGCAACAGTTCCCCAACAACAACGCACGACCAGCTGGTCCAGTGCATCCAAAACACCATCAATTTCCCGAAGTGCAGGAAAGGAGGTGATAGGTTTTCCCCCACCTTGACCCATTTGCGGATACACAAATCGCCTCGAGTTTTTGCAGAAGTCATGTTTTGAGCGCCTGAGAATGCGCAGCCCAGAAACGGACAGCGAGCACTCCGACTCCGACTCGGAATCGGATCCAGGCGCCACCTCCACGGACAGCCAGTCCAGCGGATCGGGAGGGGTGCTCCACAGGCGACGGAGCAGCCAGCGCGCGGATGTGCTCAGTCTCAAGGCCATGGCGCCCAGGTGAGTCACTTCGAGGGGCAGTCCAAAGTCCCGCCTTATCTGCACAGCCCTCAAATCTAATCTGACCCTTCGTAGACCCAATGCCGGACCCGGCGGCTGGCTGTGCCTGCTGCTCCCGCTGGCCCTGGGCGTCCGCCTGTTGCACGCCCAGGCCGATGGCAAGGATGCGGCCAGGACGCAGTGGCTCCTCACTGTCTCCGCCGGCGGAATGGCCCTGGAAACCCTCTGCTTCTTCGTCTACGCCTTTGTGAAGACGGGCATCTTGGTCAAGTGCCTGGTGAGCCTGCTTCCCGGAGTGGCCACCAGCTTGAGCTTCTACCTGCTGGCGGACTCGTCGCTGACCTTCGCCGTGCTCGTGGGCTTCCTGATGACCTCCTCCTATCAGCAGATCTACATTTACACCCTGCGTGGCTTCGAGGGATCCTTCACCTTCGGCGAGGCCTCCGTTTTCGTCCAGGGACTGGTGCTCTTCGCCATGAGTGCTGTCCACCGCCTCTGCGGCTTTTTCTGCGGCGGTTCCTGGCCCACTGATGAATTTGAGACCCTCAACATGATCATGGTGGTAGGTATCGTTGGGTTTACTTATTCATTTTTTGATTTTGAATGAGGTTGCTTATGATCATCCATACTTATATTTGTCCATGGCATTCCAATCCCACAGAACGCACTGTTTTGGCTCCTGGTGTTCTGCCTGGCTCTCGTCATGTTTCCATCGCTGAGGAAGCCGTACCGCTTCTACCTGTGGATGGTCCAGCTCCTGTTGGCTGTGACCTGCATGCCGGTGACGAGACCCCTTCCGTTGATGGCCCTGATCCACTTCCTGCTCCGGGATCGCAATAGGCTCGCCATCTTGGTCTTCTATCTGGTGCTGGTGGCTTTAACCTGCATCACCGTAGCCTGGCAAATTGGTAGCTCCGCAAAGGCCAATACGCGCGTTCGCAAGATATTCCACCTCCTGATTGTGCTGGTGTACATCCCCGGATTGGTCTACGAATGCGCCTTGCTGTACTTGGCCACTGGAGTGGCGGTGGCTGCTTTCGTGGTCCTGGAACTGCTTCGACTCCTTAAGATTCCTCCGTTCGCCGACAGACTGGCTGAGGCGTTCCGCTCCTTCAAGGACGAGAAAGACGCCGGGGAGCTGGCTCTGACGCCGTTCTGCCTACTCATCGGATGCTCCATGCCCGTCTGGATGACGCCAAGTCCCTGCTCTGGAGGCGACACCTTGGCGTTGCTCTCTGGAATTCTGGCAGTGGGCATAGGTGACACGGCAGCCAGTGTAGTGGGCTCCAAGCTGGGTCGCAACAAGTGGGCAAGTTAGTGTGGCTAGTTACATATGTCGTTATATTTCTGAAAGACTGTCATAACTTAAAATTACTTCTTAGAATCATTGGAATATTTAATGTTATCTATATTTACATTCAGTAAGTTTGAACTGATAAGTTGAAATCTGATAGGGATTCTGATCTCTAATATATTCTTTAATTTAGTTATGGCAGTCCTTCAATAAGTGCCCCGCATAAAACTATTTTAATTTGAACAATTAATCCTTTCAGGATCCTCCCGCTCACTGGAGGGCACCATAGCCTTTGTTGTGTCTATCCTGCTCGCCGTATGGCTACTGGAGATTTCCGGCTTGGTGGCCATGACCCAAGCCAAATGGTTCGCCACCGTCTTCGCGGCATTAAATACCGCCTTGGTGGAGGCTTTTACCGACCAAGTGGACAACCTGGTGCTCCCCCTGATTTTCTATGCGATTGTGGGCCTAGCCTAACGCGTAGATATAACAAGTTTGTGATGATCACATTCCTCGGTGTATTTATTTGTAAAATTACTCGGTGTATTTAAGTGTACTAGAGTTAGCCCATTGGTTTTATCTTAACCAATCAATATGTTAAACTATCTAAAAGAATTTTAAACGCTAAACTGAAAGGTTTTATTTCAGGGATTGAGTTTTGGAAACTAAAATGTCTATTTTTGTGGTTAAATATGTATTTGCTTGTACCAAATTCCTAAGAAGGGTCTTTCAATGCTGAAAGTGATATATGTACGAATATTTTTGGCGCTGACTGTATTTGTATATTTTTCGGCCGGAGACGTCTCATTCCAAGCGCCACAAACTTCTGGCCAATACCAATTTACCCTCTGATGGGGTACAAAATGTGCATCCAGATGGCTAAGTACCCAACAAGGCTTCATGCTTGTTTATTTTCAGAAGCAATAAGAATTTCCAGTAGACCATTTCAAATGCCCGTTTTGCAGTGCAGCCCTGGCCACTGTCAAGTTAACATGCTGTTACCACGCTGAATGTTGACCAACACGTGCGTCCAATGTTATGGATATGGGACTCCAAAATACATGAAAATAACCAATTAGACCGCACTAAAAACACAATTCCACTCGGTTTGTATAGAGTGCAAGCACTGCAGATCTTTATTTCGCAGAACTGGTCATCGGATGGCTAGACATGTGGACATGGCCGGTGTTCCAAGAAGTTGCTCCTCCGCCTCGCAGGTGCTCTGCACGGAATACTCGCCTCCACTTTGAGCCACTTAGTCCGCTTACTCGAAGAGAGCGAAGCCCATGTCGTCGTCCTCGGACTCGGACTCCTCCTTCTTCTCCTCCTTCTTGGCCTCCTTCTTGTCGCCTCCGGCGGCGGCAGCGGGAGCGGCATCAGCGGCAGCGACGGCGCCACCACCACCCACCGGCATCGAGGAGAGCTTCTCGCGGCCCTCCTTGATCAGGTCCTCGATGCTCTTGCCGGCCAGCTCCTTGATGACCTTGGTCAGACGCTCAGCATCGACCTCGATGCCCACGGAGCTCAGGATCTTCTCCAGGTCGCCGTTGGCGGGGGCGTCCTTGCCACCGAGCACGGCCAGAAGGTAAGCAGCCACGTAACGCATGTTTAAGTCTTGGGTTCTTGACACGAAACGTGAATTGGCGAAAAGTACGAAGTCACAACTTTCCTTAGCAAGTCGTCGTCGAAAAAGAGGCGGAAGTTAGAGAAGGGAGTTAGAGGGTGCCAAAACATCGATGCCAGCGACGGCGTCATCGATGTTTGCGGGACAGCGATGGTATCGATGTACGGCAGCGCTCATCGGTGTTCTTTCACCTCTATCGAGCTGTTAGTTTTCACTCCAGTTGCGGTGCACTGTTAACGGTTCCACTCCAGTTCTGGCGCTCTGTTAACGATTCCACTCCACTTGTTGCGCACTCTGTTATCTTCCACTCCATATCTTCCATCTCTAACGAAACCTCATTCTAACTTTGAAAAATGGTCACACCAAAAAGGATTATTTTCAAGGAGCCACGGTAAAGATTTCCTTAAATTAAAATAACGAAATCGGTAAACTATTTATAATTCAATAACTAACAAATACAAGTTTCTCAATATACTTGAAATGGCATCTATAATATTTTTTCTAACAGAATAGACTGTTGAATCGGTGAAATGTTATTCACGGTGAAAATGAAAATAAATTTATGAGAATTTTAGATACAACACATAAAGCGTTGTTCACTTCAACAAAACCCTTGAGAAATGAAAATTGCCATACAAATTTAGAATCAGACAAATTAATAGATTAATTTTGCAAGGTTTTTTAATTGAAGTAGGTCTAAAAAAATACATAAACATATTTTTTACCGAATAGTTATTAACGGTGAAAATGAAATAAATATATGAGACCTTTAAATACAACACAGAAAGCGGTACACTAACTTCAACGTAACTCTTGCAAAATGAAAATTGCCATACAAATTTAGAAACACAATTTTTATTATCTCAATTATGCATGGGTATTTTCATTTCGCAAGAATTTTAATTGAAGTTGGTCTAAGGCTTAAATACATAAACATTTAATCTCATTGCGAAAAATCCGGCAAATCGATTAATGCTCAAATAGATCTTCAAATCCACTTTCAGATCCCGTTCCCAAAGAAAACAAGAGAAAAATATACGTTTACGCTGTATATATAGTTGCATATATAAATTGTAGTTGTTGTACAAAATTTTGAAATTGTATAATGCATTCCTGAACTTTGTGTATCACATTTCGATTTGGAGGGCTCAAAACGCCCCCGAGAATCGTTTCACATTTAACGGTTATCAGTTGATCGGCAGTAATAATTATACGACACGACAATGTTTTTACACTTAGCTTACGACTACAAACATATTAAGGTATTATTCATTCCGGACCCGCATCCGGACCCCGTAACTGGACTGACGCGACAAATAAACAAAATGCTTCACTACACTTAAAGGAACATTGTAACAAGACCGGAGCGAGGCCGAGGCCGTAACGATCACTCGCTCCCTGAATTTCTTCCCGGGATGTGTCTCTGGTCTCCGGCTATAGCGGCTCCTGCTGGAAGTACTCGTGCTCCAGGCAGGCCAAGGCGGAAGGTCGCAGGTGGAGGTCGTAGGACAGCATTTGCTTTGGGGAGAGTAGAGTATTCATTAGTCGTGGGTATTCATTATACAAATCCCTACTCACATTCAATAGGCCATCGGCGTATTTGCACAAATGGGGACAAAAGTCTCTTGGTCTCTTTGGATGCCGCTGGGGAAAGTGCTCCAGGGCCACTGAAATAGTCTGGGGCCACTGCTGCTCGGTGGGTCGGCCAGTCAGCCTAAAAGCAAAAGCATACAATATCAGAATACAATAGAGTTATAGATTCCTTTCGAAGGACACCCACTCGAAGATGCGGTCCAGCTGGTTCTTCTCAGAGGTGCCCGGGAACAAGGCCCTGCGGTTGAACATCTCGAAGATGATGCAGGCGGCGCTCCAGATGTCCACGGTGCTGTTGTAGGGCTGGGCGAGCAGGACCTCGGGGGCGCGGTACCACAAGGTGACCACCACGGAGGTGAGCTTCATCTCCGATCCGTAGGTCTTGGCCAGGCCAAAGTCGGCGATCTTGAGGTGACCCTGCGAGGAGACCAGCAGGTTCTGGGGCTTCAAGTCCCGATGGATGATGCGGTGTGAGTGCAGAAAGTCCACTCCAGTGAGGAGTTCCCTCGAGAGGCGCTGGAATAGAGATCACAATCAAAGATCAGTATGGACCCGACTTGATTTCAGTATCCATTTAAGAACCCACCTGAATTGTGGGCGGCGACATGCCCGACTTGGGCAGTCTATCTATAAGATCCGACAGATCCTGCTCCAGGTGCTCGAAGACCAGGAGGATCAGCAGTTGGCCATCGCGCTCTAGAAACTGGCATACTTCGAACAGTCTGAGAAAGAGGGGAAACGTGTGTCAGTATGTTTGAAAATTGTGTGATTTCGAGCTTGGAAAGAGACAGACAGATGGAAATGTTGAGAGGTATAGACGAATTGTTATAAAATGCTGCTGGCTTTGCTAGCGCCATCGGCCATACTGTGTTCGTTTGCGGAACTAGGTAAAGCACTCGCAACAAACACATGCGCACGCTTACGATATTGCGATCAAAGAGCAGAAGAGAGTGCCAAATAGAGAGATCGATTCCAAGAGCTCGTAACATAAGTGTTAAAGAGCGGAGGAATAACATAATGTTAAGACATTTTTGTCAGTTATTTTAACAGCACGTTTGGCTGGGCTTGTTTCGAAATGTACATGTTTATAGAAAACAATTAAATGTTTTGAAATAGTTCAATTCCACTATCAACAATATTAATATGGTTTATTGAATACAAATTAGTAACTAACACTCTTTATGAAAGACATAATAATAGATTCCCCCTTGCCAAGTCGTTTCCCCTCAATCCGAAAAAATACTTTTGTTTTCAAACCAAATTGCAGGCACCACAATAGCGCCGTCTGCAACTTAACATTCTGTTGTGTGAACTCGCTCACGCTCTTTTCAACATACGATATTTACTAGATCCCTCTCTCACTGCTAATTTTGCATCGTAGCTGAGCGGAGAGGCAGACGGAAAGAGCGCAACATGCTATCGATATCGGCTACCGGCAACATTGTGCTATCGAGCCTGCCAGGCGCGCGCTCCGTAAATTCAAACTTCCAACGACTGCCGCAAATTACTTAATGCCAATACAAAATCGGCGAATCTCCGACTGCAGTGACAGCGGCGTTATCAGCTGGAGCAGAGCGGCGCCGCCCCAGAGTTATTTGACTGGCATATGCCAAAGGCGTGGGCGAGGGGCGGGCCATGTACTCTCCACCTGCAAATCGGCGGAATACTGCGGCTATAGCAGCTATAGCAAAGATAAACAGAAGCGCTGTGACATTGTGGGGAGGTTTTTTCAAATGACTTTGGCAAATAGTTGGGGCGCCACTCGGCCTCAATAGCGGGTGATAACACACCATAAACACACCACCCCTTTTGGCTACTAGCACACGATCCAAATGCCTGCTAATTGTTAGACAATGCACTTGCATTGCTTATTGTTCATGCATTCCCATAAGACTTAAGCTGTGAAATGGGGAATGGGTATTTTCGGGGATAGCATACTCACTTGACTATGTTGGCATGATTGCTGGCATTAAGCTGCTTCAGCAGCGAGATTTCCCGCAGCGTGGACATGGGCACTCCATTCTCGTTCAGCGATATCCGCACCTTCTTCAGGGCCACTATGTTCCCGGTGATCACATCCCGGGCTCTGTAGACCGTTCCATAGGCACCTGAAAAATTGGATCAAATTGCGAATGACCGAATCAAATGGCAATGCTAATCAGAAGCGAAAACAGAGAGAAAGAGCGAAAACAGGCAAAAGCAAGTCCAGATAAGAACAAGTAAAACTGCCAAAAATTCACATTGTATAGTACGAAATAAAAGTAAAAGGCAACCAAAGTCAGCTGTGCTGATAAGATGGGCGAAAAGTGCCGGCTGATTGGCGATATCTGGAAACTATTTGGGTCGCATAATGGCAGAGCTCACGGAGAAAAAAGTTCGGTCTTCAAATGGGCTTAGATATGCTAGAAAATCCACTTATCTTATCCATGATATATCGCATTCGTATTCTTACTACTCATCTTGCTATTTTTAGCACACAGATTAAAGTGATCATTTTAAAGAATTTATGTAAATGTATGATTGACTTTCAGGAACTGGTAACGGAAAAAGGGGAAATTATATTGATACTATTTCAATGTGCACAAGCGGAGAAAGCAGAAGAAGCGCAATCAGAATGAAATGCCAGAGACAAAATGTTGTCACCGGAAATTTATCACCCGGACAAACGGACGGACGGACGGACGGCGGCATGCGTGGGGGCAGCAACCAGACCCCGGCTATTTCGGTTGACATTGACAGACACTATATACTACGTACTGCAAGTGAAATGGAAGGTGGGCGGTGGGAGGTGGGGTCTCCAGACCACCTGGCTTGTGAACTGTGCCGCTGTTTCGACAGTCGAGCACAAGGCCGAGAGCTCGACTTCGACTCGTTTCGAGCGTCGGCTACTGCTACTGCCCCTCGATTTGGTATTGTCAAAAAATAAACTCGAAAATTGCGCACAGACCAAGGGAAAAAAATAGAAACAATACGAAAGGTTGGAGCGAAAGCGAATGGCAGGGGGCAATAATTGAATGAATGCGAACGACGGACGGATGAGTGTGTGGAAGTGTGTGCCGTATAACAGATGAAATTGGGGGGGTTGCGGGGAGGGCAGGGGCGAGGAGTGGCTTACCTTCCGGCTGGTAGCCCCCCTCTGCGCCCCTGACTCCCAACCAGTAACAATATTCATCATTAACATTCGCCTCTTCACAGCTCACAGCTCGGTGACGTAATTGATTTGGACTTTATTTACACAACAAAAACAAAAACAAAAGCGATTGGTAATTGCTGCCCCGAAAAACCAAGACCATGGCCACTTGTCAGAGCATCGATCTGAGATCGAACCTATTTTCGGATAATGATTACAAAACCACGTGGCCCCTAGGGATAAACCCGAAAGTATGCAAGTAAAATTGTAAAGCCCCTGAACGGGGAAGTTTTGATCGTGAGACATTACCTAGTCAATATTTTCCCCTTTTCCATGATTCTCCACGCTTAATTGGTCGTGGTTTAATAAAAGTCGGCTAAGTGCACTCTCTGAATGCGCTTCAAACTGGTTTTGAAAGGGTTTTAAAAGAAATAAATAAATAATAAAGCCATCTACATATTTTCCATTAGGCTGTATTTGGTGAAGATTGTTAAAAGTTAATTAGCTACCAATAAAAAATATTGCTACTGCCACTTTTTAAATACAAAATAGCGACCTGTAAAACCAATTAACCAAAGTTTTGTAAACAAATTAAAGTAAATAGTTAATAGTCCCCAGTTCCGTTGAGCAACCCATAGATGAACAGAAACCACTTGGTCGCGCCGACCTATCCCAACAACAAAGTCCGCTTACCTGTGCCGATGATGTTCAGCTCCTGGTAATTGAATGGGTCTCCATCGCCGAATTTTTTCCCCTGGGACATTTTCTGTCGCTTCAGCTGAGGTGATAGTGACATGTAGCCGGATTCTATAACTACAGGTGCCGATTCGCCGATTCTCCTCTGATCTGGCTGATTTACAGGGGCTCTAGCACTGTTCACCGGATTCAATGGTCACTGCACCCACTGTAAATGGAAGTGGGATTGGTATTATCGATCTGCGTGTGGGTATCGATATGTCCTTCTGCTCCACGCGATAGCTGACAAACAGGTAACGGTTACCTGCTGCCTTTCAGATAACCCAGCCCCGATAAAGAGCGGTGTGACAGGTGCTAATGGGAATGGGTCCGAAAAAGAAGTGAAGCCTATGATTTTTCTATCTCTGAGAACTCGCACACATGGAGCGGTGCGGTCGTTGAACCTCGGTTAATGTTTTCGTTTATTTGTACTTTAGTTTTATGTCTAACCGATCGCAGAAGGCGAGAAACGAGACCGATCGCACTAACCCTAGTTATGATTTATTCATGTTCTTTTCACTCGTCTCCCTTTTGGGGCTCCATTCGTGCATCCTGTTACTTTTTACAGCAGCGCACGAGACGTTACTTATTGGGGAATGACACTTGTAACAATGTATGGATTTACTGGAAGTAATAAGCCAGTTACAGAAATTATCAACTAGTTTTATTTAACAATATTATATTAGACAGATAAATAATACGAAACAATCAGGATCTACCTATTTCTGAAATTTAAATATGTATAGCTTTTCTCGCAGTGCCCCTTTTCGCCCGTAAGTATTAACATCGAAAAAAGAACTCGAATAATTTGTTGTTGCCATTTGTCAATTAATTCTAATCGCGAGACAACAACGAAACAACAATAACAAATAACGCAACAAAAAAAGCACTAAAGTTATAACAAAGAGAGTGGGTAGATTTCGAGGAAAAATATGAGGTGTATAAATATGAAATAGTTATTGTTATTGTTGCACTTTTTTTTCTACTGATAAGCCGTGTTTTTCTTCACTTTACACTTTTTTTCCGGTGTATTTCAATGCCAATGCTGCCGTTTTTTGTCTGGCCTTTGTGCCAAATATTAGTTAAATATTAAAAAATGTGTTTTTTATTTGCCCAGAGACTCGCACACACACATATGCACACTTGGTGATCTTCACACACACACACATGGATAGACACATGTGTACATATACAATTTTTATTCGCCTTGACGAAATTTTGGCATTTGTTGATTATCAGCAAGAACCGCACGATCGGAGCAAAGCCACACAACACGAATTTCGATGCGAACACGGCCAGGTGCCTTAAAGACCGGCAGCAGCACTTTAATTAAGTTTTTAAAACAGCGATTTACAAATTTTTACCAATATTCGTAAGAACTGCTGGTGGATGTCGAGGAGTGTGCTACGAAAATTACGATATTCGTTCGGACAGCGGTTTCTCTTCGCCTGTTGGCGTGCTGTTGTCTAACAGCTGTTGACTAACAGTCTGTTGTGGCCGGTAAAACGGTTAACCGTTAATTTCGAAAGTGTTATCAGTGGTCGAAACTAGATCTGGTACTTTATGAAATATAAATGTATAATTATATAAGAGTGCTACGAGTGAATCAAATTTTAACATAATAATTTTGTGTCTATAAAAACTAAATTCGGTGAATACCTAAAACTGTGAGGATTATTGTCTTATTTTTTAATACGAGTTCTAAGTTAACGTTTCAAAATTAGTGAGTAAGAATAACTGATTAATTGATTTAAACTGATTTAAATGCTTCAATGATTCTTAAAAAATATTTGTTTTTTTCTGTTAACATTAATTATAAATTATAAAAATGTATATGAATTATGTTTTATATCGATTTCTATAACATGTGTTTCACGCACTTTAACTTAAGAACAAAATCAAAAACGTTAAAGTCACAAAATATAAAACATTGATAAGAAAACTCAACTTTTGCGAAAATTTTTTATTTTTATAAATGTTAAAAGGCAATAAATAGCCTTGACCCACATAAGTTATTCTTGCTTATCTCCCTCTTCATATTTTTCACATAACGTGTTATTAAAGTATGAAAACCACAAGCTAAAAGTTAATATTTTTTGCAGCCAATTTATCTAAAAGAGATTACAGCAGGATCTGCGGTTGGAGTCGACAGCACGGCAGCCGTGATCAGCATCGAAGTGGAAGGAGCGTCCACCTCGGGTTCTAAACGGATAAATAAAAAAAATAAATAAATAATAATAATAATAAATAATAATAATAAATAAATCAAAAATGTCACTCGGCAAATTAAAAAGTCACTCATTGAATTTATAATTTAACAACATTTCGAAAATGTCTCACTCAAGTTTTGATCGTGAGTGATTTTGATCGCGTTCTTTGAGTGAAAGCTGGCTACATATTTTCCAGAGATCTGGCAAGGCCAATTCGAAGTCGAAAAAGCTCGCTGGGGCGCCAACATTTAAAAACAATTTAATGTGGCGAAACCCTCATAAATTAATGATCACCATTTAGCACACATTTTTAATCATATTACTAATTAGATCGGGCAAAATTTCCATGAATTTGGCGGTAAGCAAAACAAATTAGGTGGAAAGCGAGTGACGAAGTCGGCGAAGTGTTAATTTCCACCATCGGGTATCTGCCACCAAAGATCACCGGAGATGACGTACACCAGCCAAGACCAAATTGAAAGGGCAAACAACGAGCGATCAGGATGGTCGGAGGGAAATGGAAATGTTAGTTTCGGCGACAGCGAGAACGTGCCCCTTTCTCACCTTTTCAGGCGCCAGTCGATCGCCACGGAAAGCGCAACCCGCACCCAATCTTGGCCAATTATCACCTCGATGAGTCGGATGATGAGCTCCTCCGCGGAAGTCGACGCCCGGCAACGGAGCATATCTCTCCCAATTAGAACACCTGCATTTCCGACTAAGCCCTACAGTAAAAGCCCAGTGATTCAGCCACTTCGATCGCAGATCTAGACTTTGGTCGGCGGACTCATGAATGAATAATGCTCGCCGCGAATCATGATCTTCTCCAATTAGTGAGTTCCGATGGGGAAGTTGTCATCAGATAAGGGAGCAGATTGATCCCAATGTCGCACTTACTGTGGAAGTAAACAATACTGGCGAGATTAATGAGATTGAACAGCCGTTTCGCGAAATCCCACATGGGATCCGGTCGGATCCGAACACCACCGCATAGACGCAAGTCCCTGATAAGCATTTTATTTTGTTTTTCACTCTCTGACATTTTGTCGGCCTGTGACGACTCCGCTTATCGCCGGCCATTAGTCTTATTGCGTTTCAAACCGGATTCCAGCCAAAAAACTAATTAAATGGAATTTATTGAACAAATATTATGGGCAAACGGTTCTGCCCCGGCTATAAATACGCAAGAAAAGGCAAAAGAAGCCAGCAAACAAAGACGCAAGTGAGAGTCTAGACCAAGTTTTGAGTTCTGAGTTCTGAGCCTGTTTTTCGGGGGTGTTGACGGGCAATTTGGCTAAATGTTAGCCAATTGAATAAATCAGCCTGCACTCTCCGCAGCAACCGGTTGGCCATTGACACGGCCAAGACGGGTCTCAAAACCACAACCACTCGCGCACCGACGTCACTGGCTCCCAGCTGAGAAGCCACCAAGACCAAGACCACGACCAGCTCCAAGCCCATTCTCGATCCGATCTCCGCCTCACGTGCGGCAAAAGGGGGTACAAGTTTCAGTTGGGGCCCATCTTATCTGGGGGATCCAGTCGAGCGTGGCTCATTACCATCGGCAGCAACAAGAGCACTCGACCTTGGGATTCCCCTCAAGCATGAAAGCCAAGCTCAAGTGCCTCGATCCGCGCTGGGTTGACAATTTTCCAAGCATCCAAGCATCCAAACATTTAAGCCAAGTCCAATTCCAATTCCAAGCCAAGCCAGACATGCGTCACCAAACAGCAAGCCTCGATTTGCATAACTTAGGCACATAATGATCTCCAAATTGGTTCCACTGCCAATCTCTGTGAGAGATCTCTCGAGCTCAAGCTTTACGACTCCCCTTTGGCTTCCGTGTCTGCGGCGCCAGTCTCCAGTTTCCAGTTTTCCATTTCCCGTTTCCCATTTCCAGTTCCCCATCCTGTGATCCGCACTGTTTATCGGATCTCCGGGGATTAGTGTCTTCTTGATTAGTAAGTGCGTCATGGAAAAAGTTTAATTAGTCCCCGCCGAAGATCGGTTAATGCCAAGCGCAAACAAATACGGGTACGTGTGACGCATATGAATGATCTCCCTGGGAAGCCTCTGAAACCTCTGAAACCCTCGAAACCCCTGAAACCTGTGAAGCGTTAATTACGTGACTTGATGGATCGGCCAACTGCAGCGGGGCCAGCCATTTGGCAATTTGGCCCAAACCCAAGCCCAAACCCAATTCCAAACCCTGGGAGGGGGGTGCGTTGAGCGAGCGCCGCGATATCGGCAACACTTAGCGAAACGCAGGTCGAAACCTGTTCGGCTTGCGAAGGCGTCGGGCCAGCCGTATAAAAGTGAATTGTGACAAAAATTCTGAACAGTTGAAGCGCACGCTCAGCGGCGATAGCATCGAGAATACAATACACAAATCAAACAGGCAGCACGGGCCAACAAGGTGTCAAGCGGTTATCAATAAAGACATCGTCCCGCGATTAACGATCCATCAGAACGGTTTCGACGTTCCGCGAGTGTCCAACGAATCTAAACCCCGCATCCGCGATTCCAATCGGAACCCCAAGTGACAAAGTGCCCCGGACAGGATACCCCACTCATTAAACGGCACCGTACTCAGCAGCAATGGTCGCGTTCACTTCACGAGTGAGTATTCTCGAGATCGGTATCGATACGATACGATCCGAAATTTATCAGCCAAAACACAGGCACAAAACACACTGAGAAACGTGTTTCGGCGATTAACATTTTCAACAAATTCACAAATTAAGGCTGCAAAACACTGCTCTAACGGACAGCGTACTCTGATTTTTTGCCGCCGGACAAGGCCAAACGCATTATCGAATCAAGTTATTCTATTTCTATGAGTTCGATCTTGTGATCATCATGAGGAAGTGTCACAAAGCGCTCTGCAGTGGGTCTTCGGCTGGTCAGCCATCCTGCTGGAAGCCTTGATACCGTTTACAAAGCCGAGCTCTTAGCCCTGAACCACTAAGCCAACCGGTTACAGTCTCTGCATCAGTCCGAATATCAGTCTCGATCCAGTCTCAGTCTCAGTCTCAATCTCAATCTCCTTCTGCGCGCTGCTGATTGAAATTAATTTGTTTTGTCTGCGGTTGAGGTTTTACATAACCCAAAAACCACCGAAAGAGTGCCATCCCTGCATTTAGCATATCGTGTGGGTGACTCATCTGGGTTTCCAGGAACAGTCCATTGGAATGGGCATCCGGTTCGGTGGCGCCTAGAGATCAGCTGGGTTCTCGGATCATGCTCGATGACGCCTACCGAATTCGAGACGTGCTCATGAATATTTTACGTGCGACTATAAATTAGATTTGATTGCGGTTATATCATTGACTTGGCCCGATCCTCCCCTGCACCCCACCACCTCCAGTTGGTTAATTTAAATTAATTATTGTATGCTAATTCGCAGCATAAGCGCTAAGAGCAGACAGGTTCTGGTTCTCTGGCACCGCTGGGTTCTGCCACTGGCCTCCAGCCGCAGTTCACACCTTCCAATGCCTCCGACTGACGGTTCCTTCTTCCTTGTTCCTCCATCCGCAGGTTTCCCCCCTGATCCTGATGTCCCTGATGGCGACGCTGGCCATGGCAGCTCCCCAGCTCCAGGAGGTCCCACACGCCCTGCTGGACATCGAGACGCCCAACCAGTTCAACTACGCCCCCTCCCCGCTGGCCCAGCCCGACAGCCTGAAGTCCAGGCCGTACTTCGACTTCCTGAGCACCCTGTACGCCCACGACACGGCCAAGACGAGCCTGTTCCGTCCGTATTCCGGTCGCCAGCGACGGGAGGTGCTCGACCGTCCGCGCAGGGCCATCGTGTTCCGGCCGCTGTTCGTGTACAAGCAGCAGGAGATTAGGAAGCAGGAGATCAAGGACAGGAACGCCCAGAGGCGCCACGACCTGAACCGCTTCACCCGGGTGTAGTCCTGCTGACCGCCCATCGAATACTCCAGTGTCCATCCAGCCAACCCGGGCGTTGGCCTCCTACAGGGTCCTCTAGCACTTAGCCACTTGCACTGTGTCCTAGCCTTAAGTATCTGCACTGCAGCACGACGAGAGCGCACTCATCGCTATATTATGTACGCCTACAATCCATTCGCACCGCCTCACCACCTCACCACCAACCACATCCTCGTAGATTAAGTCCAGATGTTTGTTACGCAACTTGTTATCGCGACGTTTGATTAAAGCTAACAAATCTGATTTTGATACGAGCGGAGGTCTCTTTTGGGGGAGGGGGGTTTATACAAGCTGTTATCGGATCTCATGTGACTGACTTGATATCTAGTTCTACTCCGATTGCACTTGAAAGTATATTAACCGGATCTTCAGTGACTTCTTGATCACTTTCACCAGGTTCAGGTTTTTATATTCCAATTGATTTCCATTTGAATTTAAGGATTGTGTATTAAAAGAATTCCATTATGCGCTACAGTAATGCGTGTATAAGGGTATTGTTTGTAGTCGTTAATGCCTTGTTTTATTATTAATATCATTTGATTTTAAGTTGAAGTGTTTTATGTTTTACCTTCAAGTAAGACAGAGGTACATAGGTGAAAATGCAATATAATGGCTTATAAAGTATAAGTATTGATAAAGTGAGAGTTTTTCTTTGAATAACCTATCAATATGCATATATATGAATAAGCTATTGTACATATTTATGAACATTATTTTAAGTTAACCACCTTTAAGAAAATAATATTCACTAAAAGCAGTACGATAACCCTTAAAGAGATGTTATACAGGATTTCGGCCATACAATATATTCATTCAGGATTAACCCAAAGAGCAGAGTTCTGTGGTTTCCTCTCATATAGAGTTGCAAACTATACTCATACACTTGGAGTCCTACTCTCCCCACACGATGTTCTCTATCCAGTCGGTGTAGAGGTGCACCTTGGTGTACACACTGGGGAGTCCCTGGGTGCCGCACACCAGTCCGTAGGAGGTGATGCCAATCACCTGCTTGAGGCAGGGGTACGCGGGGTGCGGGACGAAGACGGGTCCGCCGGAGTCGCCATAGCAAGTATCCGCACTGGTGTTCCGGGAGCCCGCACACAGTTGCGTTCGCAGGTCTACTTTGTGCCCCAGCCGCTGACTGCACTGCCGCTCCTCGAATCTGTCCAAGGTTACTTTCAGCAGATGCGAGGAGGAGTGCCCGCCCTCCGCGGTGGCGCCCCATCCCGCAGCTGTCACCTGAAGGAGGTCATTGCCACTGGTGGGTGGCAGGCAGGCGGGAGCCACGTACTCGGTCAGAGAGGACTCCCTGTCCAGTTCCACCAGGGCGATGTCGTTCCTGCGGCTCCCGGTGTCGTCGTCCTCGCCATATGCAGGATGTACCACGTAGTTGACCACCCGGAAGTCCTGCGGCTGGGCGTCATCCGAGCTGCTCTCGTAGTCCAGCTCTCCCAGTCTGACCACATACTTGGGTCCATCGTAATTGGGGTCCAGGCGCTGCTCCTTGGTTCTGGAAGAAGTCATTCCAAAGGATTATCAATTTATAAAAAAACATTTACTTTTCGCTGATGAAAATATATACAGAAAAGCAATTAATTTATACACATTTGGTTTTTTAAGTGTTTAAACTGGATAGAAACTAGGGGTAAGTCAATAAACAGGGAGTTTCCGCCTTCTGAATTCCATCTATTTCGGATTTTAAGAAAACCATGTTTAAAACATGATGTTTTTCTTGTCGCTTTTTATATAAAAAACAAACATTTTAAGACAAAATAAGTTATGGCGCAAACACAATAGCGTTGACGAAAAGATTTGTGTTGGCTAATTAGATGCGAATTTATGCAGCTATATTGTTAATTTTGAACTGAATTCCAAAAAAACAGATAAATAAGCAAGAGTTAATCAATTTTGTTATGCTCGGCTACTAATTAACTTTGTTGTGGTATTTTAACAGCTTATAAACTGTGAACTGATGTAAAACTGGGAAAGTAAATTGTAATGCACAACAATTAACTAAATTGATTTTTACTATAAGATCATAAAGATTAATTACTTATTAATAAAGATTATTTGAATAATAAAGATTATAAATAAGTAATTTATCTTTATAATTAAGTAACAGTTTTCCCCGAATTTAAGTAGCCCAATGTTTTCATAGATTCATAGATAGAACAAAAACTATAATAGTGCTGATAGATTTTTGTAAGATCAAGTTGTAAATAACGAACATTTTGGACAGTGTATCAAAAGGGTATCTCATGCTATAACTTTATCATTCTTTTCTGATATTTATTTAAACATATCACAAATATGGTAATGATTAGCCAGTTGTGGTATGCAGATTACCAATCACCAATTAATGTTTTAGTCAAGTACGTGTTTGCATGTGATTGGATGGCAGTTCTTTTCAATGGGGGGTGTGGATCCCACTTACTCGCTGGTCTCCAGGCAGTGGGCGGCGGTGAGCACGAACTTGGGGTGGATGAGGGTGCCCCCGCAGTCCCAGTCGATCTGCGGAGAGTCTTTCCCACGCTGCCCCAGTAGCGCCATGAAGGGGAATTCCCGGCCGGCGGCCTTGGCGCCTCCCACAATCAGCGGCGTGGAGCGGCAGGAAGCTCTTATCTCGTTATAGCGACGACATTCTGTGCAGCCAAAGATTAGGACAATAGTTTTATTGTATTTTTTCTGTGAACTACTGACCCTTCTCGAATCTTTTGAGCCCGGTGTTGACCGAAAATTGCTGCGACTGGCTGTGCATATAAATTGGCAGGGGACAGCATACGATGTCGTTGAACTCGTCGCAATATTTCACGGAACGTCCCATCGAAGCCAGGTTGAAAAATACGACCGGGCAGTCCGTGGCACTCAAATCTTTGCACTCTCCAGTTCCATTATCGCAGAATTCCGATGAAATAAAGGACACTATTCCGAAGAACAACAGAATCCCACACGCGACTTTCATTGCGCCAGCTGACCAATTTCAAACTGAACTCCCTATTCGAAACTAACAAACAGAAAATAACTGATAAGAATTAGACTCTCTTTCGGCAAACGAAGAGTTTAAAATTTTATTGAAAAGTTGATAATAATCTGAAGAGGGCAATGAATAATTGTTGCATCTTTCTGCAGCTTAAATTAATGTGTATATTTAAAAGACCAATTTAAATAACGAAACTTCAAGTGTGGCTGCTTTTGACTTTCTTAATATTACTTTTTTGAGTTTGCCGCCCAAGTTTAAAATTATTAAAACATTTTCCGCAAAACTAACATAATTGCTTTATTGAAGAAATGATTGATACTGATGATTTTACCGTAGACATTTTAAAAAAATCACTAGAATCAAAATAAATATTATAATTAATGCTTTTAACCGTAACTACTAGAAAAACTAAAGTTTAATATTTCATAAGTTTTTATAAATTCAACATAATTTTTGTACTCTGGAAAACATTTCATGGAAAAGCACAATTTTTTAGAAGGTAAACTATTTATTTTATAAACTTCTCTGCATAACCAAGAAAATGCATCGGTTGTGGCAGGTTAAGACCAAATAGGTATGTGCAACAAAATTTTTTATAAAATTGAATTACGCATAAAGGTAAATAAAACCTAAAAAAAATATTTAACTTAGTGTCACAGTTTTAAAGTATTTTCGCAAGTATTCACTATCAAAGTTTTCAACGAACAAGTGTTGCCATGTGTTTGCTTAGCAAAGTTCCCAACCAAACACAGTGGCCACCTTATGCATCACCATTTCGACTACAATTTATCGTGGTTTCACCACCCCTACATTTTTGTTGTTGTTGGTTCGTGGGTGTCGAGTCGAGAAGCAAACGGCGCAATGTGAATTTTGTGTAAACAAAATAGTTGATAAGATATTCGCACGGATTTACTCGGGAGTCGCGCGACATATTCTTTGTTGGCAAGCCCAGAAAAATTGCTGTATCGAGCGGCTAATTAAAGCCAGGCTTCAGTTCTTGCGCGCGTGTGTGTGTATGTGTTTTAGGCCCTCGAGCGAAGCCCAAAAAAAAAGAAGTTTTTCTGTTACCATATTTTTTACCAAGGGCCAAAGGGCGCAGCATCTCTGCTCTCTATCTATCTTTCTCTCTCTCTTAACCGTTAATGTGAGTTTCGCAACTCCAGTTATTGTGTTAACAGCAGGTGAAAAAATTAAACACAAAAAAACCAAAAGGAGTGAGGAGAAAGAACGGAGAAGAAGCAGCAAAGCGGACCAACAAAAGTGACGCATAAATAAAGGTTGCTAATTACAAAAGGTAAACAATCGAAATTCCCGAGCAGACATAACAATAGTAATAAAATGTAATGCAGATTTGTCAATCCGATTTTCCCTTTTGAATTGCGTAGTAGATTTGCACGATAACGATACCGAAAACCCAGATGAGTGACGCGTTGGCGACGCAGCGCAAAAAGTTCATTCATAAAAACCGTCTGGCCCCGCCCCCTTCGCCCCCAAAAGCCCCTTTTTACCGCCCTCACTTTCTGTGGTTGTCACTCGATTTTAGTTTACAAATATTGTTGTTGCCAGGTCTAGTAAGCCGCTTTGCTATCTGATGTACAAATAATACTGCGAATAGTAATTATCCACTTGTTTTTGGTTACGCCACGCCCCTATTTCATATTTTACTGTTAGGTCTACTGTATTAAAAAGTATTATTAAACTGTTTTGTAATGATACAATTCACAAAATTGTATTCCAAATTCAGTTGGTAATGTCTGTGACATTTTCATTTTAAATGAGTTTAAAGAACATTTTGTAAAATTTTTAATCACATTATATTTGATTGATATATTTATTAATATAAAAGACCTTTCCAAATCAATTTTATTTTACCGTATTCCTTAATTAATCAACCCTTATGCTCATTAAGATTACAACTGATACCGCCATATGTCAGGCGGTGGAATGATTAACTCGGCGAATAATTATTAGACTGCCGGGCTAATGAAAAGTCGCACATAACTTGATCCACGGGTCAGCCCATTTTATCGCTTATCGTTTTGGCCTTTTCCCCACCTTGGTCAATCAGAATATCGACGGGGAAAACAATAACAGGGAATTTATGGCGAGCATGTCGCCAAAATGGCAAAGTCAAGCAAATAAATACATACAAATAATAAAAAAACAATCAAAATAACTCGGTGACATCATTTTGACTAATCGCCAATTTTAGCATTTGAAAAACTGCGGCCTGTTCACCGGGTCCGCTTTCATGGGTGGGAAAGAGAGGGGAATAGGGCGGGAACTTCGAGTGGGAGTGAGAGGGCGGGAGGACGGGGCAGGTGCGCCAAGCCGAAGTTCAAAACGAAGCTCAAGCCCGAAGCCACTCGGCATTCCAAACACCTACAAGTCACAAATAGATCGACGCGGTATTTTGATGTCAGCGAATTTCACTTTCGAGACGTAGCGCAGATAATAATTACAACTTCTCGTATCTGTAATATCGCAGTAAACATTTTACACGATCTGGAAAAAGAGGGGGTAAAACAAAAATCTCATTGCTTTTATCGCAGAGCAATAAATCAAAGCCGACTCGTGGCCATATTTCTCGCAGCATATCTAAGTGTGCTTGAAATTTGCCAGATTTAAGTCGCTTAATTGTGCTGTTTTTACGACATGTTGAACTGTTAACAATCTTTTAATTTTACGATTACAAAAATAAAAAAATCAAAAAAAAGTTGATATGAATTGGTTTTAAGGGAAAACCACTTTAGAAACGTAGCCAGATTTCTGAAGGCTCTTCTTAGGAATAACAGCAAAACCAGAAGATGTAGCTAGCACAAATTTCATAAGCTTATGATGACCTAAAACCTGAAAATTTATTGACTTTTTATTTAATATTTTCTTATGTAAATTAATTTAATAGAAAATTTTATTTTAATCCAACTCCGACCAATATCTTAAAGCATTTATCGGCGTTTTGCTGATAACTTCCCCGCACCTTCGATCGGATTCAATTAACTCGAACATATTGCGGCTCATTAGGAGGAACATTCCAATCTGAAGACGGGGCAGCTTGATCTAGTTCACAGATACGGCGTGCACACGCATCCACACCCCACTAGTTATTTCGGTTAATTTTGATGTGTGCTAAGAACCACCAGTGAAGAGTATTAGGCAGCAGTGCTCCAGATCCCCAGATATTTCCGAGACTCTGCGCGCTGTACGATGTGCGATGTGCGACGTGCGATGGGCGACATCGGGTGGGTGGAAATGTGGAAATGTTGTGAAAAGCTAAATGAGGCGTGACATGAAAAAACGCAGGGAAACGAGAGCAAAGCGACAAACACCCGGCGCAGCATAGAAAACAAACAAAGTTGAGTGCGGCCACCCACAACATGACAGCAGCCACAACAATGGCAATAGAACTGCTGAAAAGGAGAACAAGAACTTGGGGCCCCGTAAATTCCAGCCACGGAGTAATTTCGGCCTAGAAAAACTGGCCAGTTGTCGCTAGAAGACAAAGGGAAAAACCAAGAGAGCGGAAATAAAAAGAATGTAGCTGGGGAGCAGCGCACAATTAACCCTTTCTTTGAAGTTGCCTCTTCCGCGGGCTGTGTCCACTGTGCTTTAATTAGTTTATGGAACAAGCGTCCCGGCTAACTGCAATAAAATTAATCGTTTATGCTGTAATCGCATTTAGCGGCGCCGACCTCCTTTCTTTCCCGGTTTCCCCGACTCCCTCAGATTCCCCCAATGCTCTCGTTTGATGTATGGGATGTATATCGAAAGCGACACCGATATTCCATAACCAAGGGGCAGTCATGTATGGGAATTCCATTACAGGGGATTGCTGGCGAATGAACCGTGAACCTGGTTATTTTTGGACCAAGTCACCCCACCAAACCCAAAGGACTAACCTTAATTGTTCGTGCTTTACAATCAATTTTGCTCAAGAAACCAGTTAACCGCTCACAGTAAAGTCCAGATGCCGCAGATACTCAGCAGCAGCAGCAGGATGATTGGCCACAGGATTGGCCACAGGACTGGCCACAGGACTGGCCACAGCAGCCAACTCCACTGTTGCACATTATGCAGCAGTTTGCCCTGCTTCGAGATTGACAAGATGAAGAAAAGCGGGAACCACAAGACGATCTACAACAGGGATCACGGGATGGTCCACAACAGCAGGATCCACAAGATGGTCCACAAGATGGTCCACAAGATGGTCCACAAGATGGTCCACAAGATGGTCCACAAGATGGTCCACAAGGTGGTCCACAACAACAGGGATCACAAGATGGTCCACACGATGGTCCACACGATGGTCCACAGGATGCACCACAGAAAGGATCACAGATGGGATTCCAGGATGGCCCACAACCACCGCCTCCACAACGGCCTCCATACGGGGAATCGCCGCAGCAGGGATCACAGAATGTGGAGCCAAAAGGTCCGTTTCCGCCACTCCAACCGCATCTTGTGAACCCCGAGTATTTCCCATAAGGACAATCCCCGCAGGCACAGTCCGGGTACGGTCCAATGTAGAACGGGTTGAACTTGCAGTGGCTGCACATGATCTCTGGCTAATATCGGGGGTCCATCAATGGGCAGGCACACAAGATCAAGGACTCACATTCTGGACTTTACTGTGCGCGGGCAGCGAGCTTCTTTATTTGGTAAAATTTCGTTAATCGCCTCGAACAATTGCTTAGTAATTTCCCATAAAACGCCAAAAGCCAACTAGACTGCTCGTAAATAAAGCATTGTATTGAACACACTGATCGACAGCGGTGGGGGTTAATATATGGCAATCGTTTCATCTGGCGCGTTTTGTTTGTAAACAATACTCATGGCTAATAAACATTTGCATCGAACTTCCGCTTTGAAAAAATTGGGAAAAATATTTTATATATTGTTTACGCCAGGGATATTCAATATATTTGAAAAGCATTTGTGGTTTTGCAGTTTGTTTATTTTTATTTGTTTGTCAAGTGATTGAAATCCACATGAGCGACTAATGATTTCATCTTTAATGTTAATACGAATACTTACTCAGTAATGTTTGGTTATTTTACAATTGGTTATTTGCAAGAGGTGGCCGATCCTCTTCCTTGATTTCTTTCATGCTCTTTTAACATGGTTACATCACCATTATGGCATTTTCCGAAGCCGCATTGATTGGTCAGAGTAGTCGTGGACAATGCCATTATGTGTGACAGTTGCATTTCAAATCTCATTATAGATTTATGCAAAATGTAAGCAGAAACGCCAAAGAAAGGCACCAGAATTGCAGACCTGCAGACTGCCCTACGATTTACATATGATGAGAGGGCTCAGAGGGGGTCTCTTGACCACTTCAGCCCTGGCCTGCATTGATTTGTGGGGCTTTCTTTGTCGTTTCCCTTTCCCGTTTCCCTTTTGCCGCAACCTCTTCGACTGGGATTCGATTTCCAATTCCACTCCCATTTCGATTGCAGTTTCAGTTGATTGACTTGACTTTTGTCGTGACATGCCGAGAGTTTCACCGTGCAAAAAAGGCAAATAACAGAAATTGCACAATTTCCAGCACCCAGACGAGTTCCGCCCGGGTTAGCTGAATATATATCTTATCGGCTACGGTCTGTTTGCTTTGCAGATCGTTATCAACGCTTGCGAGATAGTGGAACGCCATCCAAATGGATCGTGAAACGAGAAAAACTGCCCACACTAAATGTTTATTTTAATGTCTGTGGGGCTGCCCTTTGTTTCGTAAGAGATTCCGTGTGCGTGGGCAGAAGCCAAACTAGAAATTTTCCCATATTCGGTTACAACATCCAACCAAAAAACCCCCCACTTTTCAAACTTTTTAGTGGCTTTGTGCAAAACACTTTGGCACACTTTGAGCGACGTTCTGTCTGCTGATTCTCGACTCGTTTGGCCAATTAGCTCACCACTTACAACTGTTGCAGCTTGGGCTCGGAATTCTCGATTTGTATTGGCCTTAGTTTTCATTTTTCCCTTGCTTTTCCGCCGCAAAGCGCACGTTCATATGCCAAAAATAGGGCGTGACTCGGGTGATAAAGTGGAAAATATTTACTGCGAATCGTTTGCTCATCTGTGCTAATTATACAGGGGATTGTCATCGATGGATCATGTCTGTTGTCGAAATGGTTACGGTTGTCACACCCCGGGTGCTATATGTGCCTACCACCTGAGGGGTCTGATTGCATATCTCCCCTTCGCTGACTGCCATCAATTACGAGTTGCTTAGCTGAGAATTTGCATATTTCGAGAGGAATTTGTAACTCAACTGGCTGATTTTGTGTGGGCCAG